GATCTTTACAAAAATTTTTACTAAATATCTAGATAAAATTATCTCATCAAATAACCTTCTCTCTAATCTTAATTATGCAGTTTCAAAAACTCTTCAACACATATCCTTATTCAAATCCTATATAATACAATAGAATATTATATCTCTTACAATAAAAAAGCTTGGATATTGTTTCAAGATATGTCTAAAGCTTTTGACAAAATTAATATAAGACGTCTTTAAAAAGCTTGCCAAAGAATTGGTATTCTTACTACTAGTATAAATCTAATAATGGAACTTCATACTTTTCACCTTGCAAAAGTAATTATAGCTTATAGCCTAATATCACCAGTTCATATAAAATCAGGTATAGAACAAGAAGAAATCTATTCTCCTCTTCTTTGGAAAATCTATTATGATCTAATTATTACCTTCATCTCACAAAAATTCAACGATCACTTTTTCAAAATCTCTTCAATCTTGCCACTTGATTTGATCTTTAATTTAAAGTCAACTATTATAACTATTTCACTATTAGCCTATATAGATGATACTGTCTGGCACTTAGATCACCCTGAAACTTTGTAAAAAATTATTAATAAAGCTTTTTCTCTATACAAAATCAACAATATTGAAGTCAATCCATCCAAATCTGATCTACTTCATATTATTTGTAAAAACTCCAAAATACCAAACTATCTACTCTAATTCGATAATCAAATAATCAATCCCAGAAAAACTACTAATATAATTAGATATCTTGGTATTTACTATGATGGTAGAGGCTCTGCTAAACCAACACTAGATATAATTTACAATAAAATAGAAAACTTCTTATTACTTATTAGATTTAAAAAACTTCTTCTATCCCAAATTTCATCTCTATTTAACCTCATACCCCAACTCTTACTAAAATATTTACTACAAATTATACCTATTCAAAAAATATACAAACTAAACTTTCTTGCTTATTCTCTATACAAGCAAAAAAAATGCTCTCACTCACTAAAAACACTAATAACACCTTACTAATAAACCCTCTTATCTTTAATTTATCAACATTTAACAATATTATTTAAAAAGTTAGTATTTCTAATATTAAACATATCTTTAATTCTTCTTCACTTCTTAATGAAATTGGTACTTCTCAAATTAAATCCTGGTTTTTAAAAGTTTGGTACCCTAGCCTTAGCAAAGAAATATTTCTTCTACATCATAAAAAAACCCACAACTTCACTCTTCTCTTTTATATTATACAACTAGCCAAAAATAATATAACAATTTCTTTGCTTCCTCAAACTACAATCTATTCCCCCTTTATTCCAGAATATATATATCTAATATACAATATACTTTCTAAAACTCCTAACAATTTTACAGTTAATAGTCTTAAAAACAACAAAATTTTATTTATAAAACAAATCACAATTGCAAACAACAAATTTCTTTTACCTTGGAAAAATATTTATCTCTAAACATACAAAGCAACTAGAGGCTATCAACTTGCATAGTTTACTTACCTCTTACAAATAATACAAATTAACTTTCTACAATCTATATAGCCATATCTTCAACAAACTGTTTTATTAACACAACTGATCTTATATCCTCCTCAAATATAAATTTCTCTTTTCAAATCTTTCCTATTGACCAAAATAGAATCTTTATTCAACACTCTAACCTTCAATACATACTCTTATACAAAATCAATCAAACAAATGAAACACCTACTGGATAAATAAAATTAATAGAAATTTCTAATTCTTTATTCAATTTCAGATCCATAAATCTTCTATATAAGCAAATAAAGCTTAACAGATCTTATTTACAAATAGACTATAAAGAAATAACTGCTATAACTAAAATTATTTCAAACTTAAACTTAACTCAACCTCTATCTTACAACAATTTTAAATACACATTCTTCCTCAAGAAATATAATTGATATATTATATAATCAAAACCTCTCATTATCAAAATTTATTAACTCAAATATATAACAATATTTTAAACTTGATTTCAGTTTTATACTGATTAATATTTCAGGTGAAATTGTTTTTTAGATTCTGAAATGTTTTGGATTTAGAAAGTAATCTAAAATAAAAATCCTAAATTCTGAATTAAAGATGAAAATCTGAAATACATCTGATATAATTCAATATTTCTAATATTTCTAATATAAATAAATATGATATGTAATTTGTCAATACAAGGTTTTTTTCGAAAGCTGCTAACACAATCTGTTCCGGTCTCTAGTAAGGCTGGCTTATTAATATTTTTTGGTCTGGTCTACTAGTCCAAGTTTTAAAAAACTGTTCTTAATTATTATTATTATTATGATGTTATTAAGACTAATCTGAAGCCCAGAAACTGACTAATGCTGTAATATAAGATTAGGCATTATTGAATATGTTATTTGTGTAATAAATGCTTGAGTAAATCAAATAATCACTGAATTATTTGGCATATTGATATTAAAGTATCATTAAAGTTTATAAAAAATTATAAAAAATATTATTGTCTTGATGCTAATTATTATTTATTATGATGCTAATTCTAGTTTATTGGTTTTATTATATGACAAAATAAAATAGAATAATTACAAAACATTATATAAAGCATTACTTGTTCAGACTGATTTATTAAAATTTCATAGTTGATTAGTTAAAGGTGTATATGACGTTTCAAGAATTCACATATTATAAATTTCATTATTATTAACTTATTAAATTTTTAGGGGTTCATTAATTTTTATTTAATTAACAAATTTTGAATAAGAATTAAAAAATTTATATTATTGAACTACATTATTAGGTTATATCTATTGTATATGGATTAATCTAACATCATGTTAATCTCTTTTTCAGGATCCCAATTATCCTTGTCAGCATCATTCTCAGCATCATAATTTTGAATATTACTATCTTCCTCTTTAGAAGACTCAAACCCAATATCAAGAATTACTTTATCTAAATCATTTGTAAAATTAGCTACGTCAAGATTTAACAACTCTTCAATTTTAAATGATTCTTCTTCCAGAAACTCAACATCTTTTACTTCTTCACTAGTAGGTTCTTTTTTTTCATAATTATCATCATCGCTAAGGTTAATATTAGATAATGCTTTATACAAGTCTTTAACACCTTTATTAACAGAAAAATATAGTAGTTCTTTTTTGAGTTTGCAAGATAAAAGGCAGAGAGCTTTTGCATATTTTCAACTTTGCTTAAAAAGAGCCATGTGTGATGTTTGCCATAATACTACCCTAAAGTTGACCAAATTCTTTTGTATCCAGCTGCATGTGGTATTATGGAGAACAATTTATTAGCTAATTGACAGATATGATCTTTATTTTTTAAAAAATTGTCTTCAAGAGACATCCACCAGATCATAAAAGATTCATTATTATCAAACAGTGTATTAAATGGTGTAGCATGATATCGATAACTTCTCATTTGTGATATTAACAGCTTTTTTTCTTTTAACATTCTATTCATTTTTGCATAGAAGTTATTTGCCGCAAGAAGAATATGTCTAAAAGTTCCTCATGCCCATACTATATCTAAATTAACAACAAATAAAATAAATATAACAAATAATTTAAATTAAATTATATACAAATAACAATTGCTTATTAGTATATCCTGGATGTAAAAAAAAGCATAAAATATATGCATCGTCATCAAATTCAGCAAATTTTCTATTAAATATTGCAATTACTTGTTGATGATAATCATTTTCAGGAAGTCTTTTAATTGCTGCTCCCAAACGAACTAGACCAACAAAGCAATCAGCTAATGAATAATCTCGTGATTCAAGAGTGGATATAGCCAGTTTAATAGAATAAAGTGCAATTGCCAAGGCATTTAAATTATCAAAAAATGCTCTTGTGCGCAAGATTGCTTGTACTGAGATATTTACAATAACTGGATTATTATTACGAATCTACGATTTAATTATTAAAGAATTAAATAAATTATTATATCTGCCTTTTTTTTTATTATATTAAAACAATCGCATCAATTAATATGACAGATTAAAATGAAATCAGATTAAAATGAAATATTGTATAATGTAAAAAATAGACAAGCTACCAAAAAATATAAATTTTTGAGATGCATTTGTTAAGATTAGGGGTTAGGGTTAGAGGTTAGTATTAGGGTAGAGTTTATAATAAACAAGTATATGTGGGTTTTAGAAAGTTAAATAGAAACCTTTATTTTATTTTAATCCAATTTTATTATAATCCATGACAATTAATAATAATAATTATTGCTATTAACTCACTATTTCTAGTAGCACTTTATGCTTAATAATAGAGAACACACAATCATACATAGTATGCCAATGAGTATTCACCTATTGTTTAAGACTGCCTCCTTTGACTAAATTTTTCTCAGCTAAAGTTTTAAGTATACTTTCTATAATTATTTAAAATGCTTTAGTATTTTTATTTTTAGCCTGAAAACCTTAGAATGCTAGCAATATATTTTTAGATTACTTGCTAAATAGTTTCTTTTAAAATGACTGACTAAGGTTTTACAACGTTTAAACATATGATCTGCAAATGATGTTTTGCTAATATCTCTTGAAATAAGATTAATAGCATGCAAAATATATTGAACATTTAAAATATTCAGCTATTGCTCTGTAATAATATGGTGTGTAGCTTTAATATTAGTGCCCGAATCTGTTATAATGGCTAAGAATTTTTCAGGCCCAATTTTTTCTAGAATATTAGTAATTTCTTCTGCTAAAAGTTCTTGTGTGTGTCTTTTATTTGACAGATTTTGAAAACTTCACAAATATTGGTTTCGACCCAGTGTATATATATTATGAAATTCAAGATTGATTCATTAGAAAGATTACTCCAGCTATTACAAGCTAATTAATAAAAACAATATTGATATAAATTAGTAATGCGACTAAAGCTCGTAAGTGATCTTACTAAATATTAAATAGTTTTTATTTGATGTAACTAAAATAAATAAATTTATATTACTGATAGTTAGATTTTCTGAGTCATTTAATTGTTTAATTATTTCTTGATTAACAAATGCTGTTTCTTGTACCAAATAGTGACTAGAAAGAACATCTTTAGATGGCAGTTCATAAGCTAGATATAAAGTTTTTAATAACTCGACAAAAAATGGATTTTCAATAATATGAAAAGGGATTCCACAGACAACGAATACCTTTAATAATGCTCTACTAATATCTTTAATATGCTCTGGTATTAATTTGGTGCTTTCGATAAAATTAGAAAGTTGTGACTGATTTAATTGAATGCTAAGCTTTCATTTTTTTGATGTTGACATATCAAGTACTTTTGCTATTAATCATTCTAAAAATAGGTTATAAACATCTGGTGGAGCTTTCTTATACAAATTAGCTAAATGATCTTCAAGAGTAGCTAGGAAGCCTTTATACCAAAAATTATTACAATAGTTGCATGTTGCACTCCAATAACCTTTCAAAATTTGGTTTCCTTGCTTAAAATGTATTTCTCACACAATTAACTTTGGTTTACTACTAGATTTTTGTATAGAAGTATCAATTTGATTAATAGAGGAAGTATCAAGTTTTTCTGCTATATTGTAAATTTGAATTTCAAAAAGCACATTTAACTAAATTTTCAGCCATCGCTATTTAAAGATATTTAACCAGTTTATGATATATTTAATTACTTCGTGATAAATTTCTTAATAAAGAAGTTATCTTAAGGGCAATATGTAAAATATATATATATAGTTAATAGGTTTTGATTCTTTTTTTTTTTTTTTTTTTTAAAAAAAAAAAAACTTTGTACCATCCACGTAAAAGTCTTTTTAATTGAGCCTGAAATATTTTTAGTAGCTTATTAGCAGGTTTATACTTTTTGTTTATTTTTTTTTTTTTAAAAAAAAAAAAAAATTAAAAATTAAAAACATAAAAAGCAACATACATATGCACATACTAATTTTCCTTTACATGAAAATGCTCAAAGTTCTCTTCTTAAAATTGAACTTGAAATCTTGGGGTTGTGGGTTAAACAATTCTAATTAGATTGAGTATCTGTGAATTAGATAATAAATTCCTAATCCTTTATATAATAGAAATTTTTAAACAAAGTTAGCAGGTAAATAATAATTAATTTAGAATTTAAATAAAAAAAAAAGAACCTTGGAGCCTTTATTATTTGTATATTTAGCTCAGAATTTTTAAGCTAACAGTATATACTAAAATATATCCAGATCCAAAATATTGATTAACCTTTTACCAGTTCAATGGTTAAGGTTTGTTTAAACTTGTTATTTCTTGTTCTTTTCACTTATACATCTATTTATACTAGTTACACAATTTCTTATAATCATTTTGCAAATATATTTCAGATCCAAAATATTATTAGTTTAGTGGTTAAGGTTTGTTTAAACTTGTTATTTCTTGTTCTTTTCGCTCCTGCATCTCTATTTATATTAGTTATGCAATTTCTCATATTCATTTGCATTTATATGCATAATTAGAAAATTTCCAAATTCAATTACTAGCAGCAGAGTATTTGTCGATTATACTAATTTGAAGTAGTAGCTCAGGTTTTCTGTAGAAAGAGATAAGCAAAAGTAGATCAAAGTTCAAACATTTGTTACGATTTTATTGTGACGCTATTATATATAATTGTCATCTGTCATTGGGCTTTCAATTATATTTTATACCGGACATAATCACTAATAAATCAAATGTATTGAGTCTGGTACAAAATGTAATTGAAAGCCTGACAACAGGTTTTTCTTTGACGGCATTATATTTAATAGTATTATAGTATTTTTATATTAGATAATATTGGACTTATCAGATTTTATGGATTTTATCAGACATTTTCAAAAATATCAGACATTTCAGAAATTTGTGCAATAGGCGGAATTAATGTCACCCCTATTTTGAATTCGGATTTGGCAAAATATTTGGGTTTCGCCCAAAACATTAATACCAATACCTCTATCAAAAACCTTCAAACCCCAAATTTGCAATCTAGCATTAGCTAGATTTGTGAAAATGATCTATCTATCAAATTTAATACAGCAATTTACCCCTTTTCAGACTTATCTTGTTCTGAACTAAGCACAGTTATCCCTCTCTTTTTAGTTTTACTGATTAATTCTACAATTACTATTCTTATTGACAACCTAGGAGCAATTAACAATCTATTTATTTTTTATTTTTTTTTTTCAGTGTTAAGGTAACCTTTATGGCTGGGGCTTTTTATTAGATAGTTAATAACGTTTACAATTATGATGAGGGTACAACTAGCCACAGTACAACTTTTGGTTGTCTATTTTAAGTGGTTCACCTAAGTTTTACACTAGCCGCCATGCCTGCAATTTAACTAGGAGATTACCTATTTAAGCTCTCTGACTATTTACAAGTGAGAGTACGACTAGCCATACCTGCAACTTTTGG